GGCATTGAACAGCGTCAATTTTACCTGCCTGCTACACCAACTAAACCTACGGGCGATCATATTACCCCGAACAGCCCTTCTTTCACGCTCTATGTCCACGTCGTCTTTCCTATCTTCGGTCAGTATATGTCCCAAGTACCGGAATTGGCTTACAACCCGAACAGGTGTACCGTTTAATTTTACACTAGGCACGTTATCCGGACCCTTTCCTGCCTTAAATACCAACATTTCAGTTTTTTGAGCATTGTATTTCAGACCATGGGAATTTATATAATTCTCACAGACTGAAAGTAGCTTCCTAAGGCCCTTAATGGAAGGACTCAGGAGCACCATGTCATCAGCGTAACTAAGACTGTTAACACAGGTCCCACCCACGTGACATCCAATTTTGGTGCTCCTCAGTCGTCCCATTAAGTCATTCACATACAAGTTGAAAAGATCCGGAGATGTGAGCCCGCCTTAACGTACACCGCATTACACATACACCGCACCGCACCTATAGCTATTGGAAGTTGCGTCGCCCCAGCAAACGTGGTTAGTTTGGTTTCCGTACCAAAACTCAAATATTCGCACAAGTTCTTCAGAAGCACCCGAGTCCCTTAATTTTTGCCAGAGAATTTCATAATTCACTAGGTCAAAAGCGCGACTCAGGTCGAGGAAACACGCGTAAACCGTAGTGTTAAAGGCCAACATAGTAATTTACGGTGTGCTTTAGAGCAAAAATGGCAGAGTCTGTTGAGAGATTGGGACGGAAACCATACTGCGCATCATCAATTTCCAAGCATTTGATTTTTAATTTGAGTTGGTGTTTCTTAAGAGATATTGTTGCAAAGGACACCCGGCATTATGTGCCAAAGTTGTATACTTTTTTTATCTGTGTTTCATAATTGGGTAACGTAGTCTGGCAATATTTGTCATCAGCAGCTAGCTGTCAATGTCAAATACGTAGGTTTGTCAATATAACCTCTATATGTAGCCGGGTCGTCAAGAGAAATAACGGATAAAAAGGCAATCACAGCAGAGAACATTCACAATCACAGTACCCGGGAGCGGATGCGAAATGCGAATGATTTTTTTGTTTGTATTTTAGGATTGTTAAATTGACATTTGGTTTTTTATTTAGAAAAAGCAAAGAAATCATGGTTTTTACAGTCACTTGAGTAATATTTTGAAGTAAAATTCTGTCCCTTGAAGATTTAGGGTTTCCATATCAAAAAATATTAATAAATCTTTCCACGAATCACTAAAAATAAGGCAAAAGAAATTTTATATAGCAAATAATTTTGGCTTTATTTTGAGACCAAATTCAACTGTATACAAGTTTATCATTTTTTCTATGAAAAGTGCCGGATCTCCTTTTTTCACTTTACATGAATGCAATAAAAGTTTGTCTGTGGTTCGGCTGTAAGTGGGAAAATGTCAGTCCCGAATTGTTTTACTTAGCTTTTTTACAATAACATCGTAAACAAAAATATATTTTGAATTGCCATCTTTGATGCTTAGATTATGCGCTAATATATTTTTTAAAATTTTACCCTATTTTATTTCCATAAAAATGCAACTAGTGTTAGTTAGGTAAATTATATTAAGTAGTAGTTTGGTATTAGTACTATTTATTAAAATAAGAATATTTTATTTAGTTCTACGCATTTTACTAGGATCAAAGCTTGAGTTTCCCGGGGTTTCTTTTATTGGACTTTCAATAAGGAAAATACGGAAATACGTCTTCGGAGAGGGATGCTTGGTTTAATTAATTTCATTAAATTTAATCACCTTTATATGAGTGAAATTCTTAATTATCATTTAAGTAAATAAACATTTGTTATGGTTTGTACTTAAATCTATCTTTCTCAGGTACTCCAAATATTAAACAGCTATTGAAATAAAAAATATATATCTCAAAACAATTCTCACCAATATTTTCAGGGATGTCGGATACAACATAATGTCATTCATAATGTTATTTATTCTTAACAGTAATACAAGTAAATAATTTAACTATTAAAAAAAGATTAAGATGAATTTCGGCCGTGAAACCAATATTTCCCATGGAAAAAAAGTGAGTGCCGTTAAACACTCAGTTGGAACAAAGTTAAAATAAATAAAACATAACAATACCGGACGAAACAACTGACTCTTGTGACGGGAAAATCTTACACCCTTTTTCATCTAGCCCCTACCCGCCAAGTTAGTATCGGCTGAGAAGGATATTTACAAAATATTACATAAAAAAATAATAACTCAGGAACAAATATTTAAGTTAGCATACATATGAGTGTCTTTACCGGCATTCGAATCCTGCACATTTATAGCTGAAGAGAGTTTTGTTACCGATCTGCCGCCACTTTTTGTCACAGCAGTTTTGCCATTTTTATAATGTTTGTAAAGATGTTTTTTTGTAAAAAAAGCTGCTAAGGTTTCAAAATATATAACTCTATCACCAACAGTGATACTATAAGGAGCATCATTTAAAAATATTGTTAAACTTTCGCAACACGTGACATCAGGTGTTATATTATATAGTTGAGCTGAGTTAAACTTGTGTAACTTATAAGTTTATCAAACAACAAGTACAATTTATCAAAGTAGGTAGGTATATAGCATACTTTCGTAATGCCTACATTATAAATTGAATTACTTATAATAGAACTCATCAATTCAAATTAAGTCATCACTTTGCAGTTCCAACTCAACTGTTCTGTGTTCGAAGTTTCAAGATAACTCAAATGGTAATAAATAACGACTGGTTATGCTGTCTAACTGGGGATTTCATGAAATATTTCCGCTATTGTAGGTCACGGAGGCTCCACACAGGCGCCAGTGACAAACAAGCGCCGAGAATCACAGTTATGATGAGAGACATTCAGAGAATGGCCGCCGCGCCACTCTGGCAAGAAAACAACCGCCATTATATATGTTTTAAGTTCCAAGGCCGCACCGCACCAGTGTGCACAACGAGCAAGGTCTATTTTAGACGAGGGTTTTTTTTGTGTTCCGCTTATTTATAACAACGCATTCTTCCGCTAGGGGAGCGTTATAGGAAACTTTCCTCTGACATTCTTGTACATGAACATGCTATAGTAAGTGTTCATACATATGTTTCGTTGTAATCGTATTAGCCAGAATTTATCATTGCTTTTATAAGTGTATTAAAATTATGTGTACTCTCTGTTAATTAAGCTCATAATTTTACTGCTTCTGCAAAAACTGCTTATTGAAATGAACACAGGGATCACCTTATGGAAGCTTGAATACAGGATCAACCAGTATCATCGGTCTTAAATGCTCAAAACATTTAATCCACAATCGCAGTTAATAATGATGCTTATAATTGCGATACCGAACTCCTTGTTATTTATGTTGTGGTTTTATAAATTTTGTAACAAGTATCTACCTTTTAGAAGAATACTTACCAATTTGTTTGATCTTCGTCGACCTTTCTGCTGCTTATTTGAAATTCTGAGTAGCAGGATTTGATCAAAACCGAATTTCAAATTATAGGGTCCACACAGCTCCAGCGGTCTCTAGACTTAATTATTTGACGAGTAAATCCTTTCTCTCGTGGCGGTGGAGCAGCGCACCTTTTTGCGTGAAGGGCATTATGTTGTTCAACACGATAAAGAACCCATTAAAATTCGTTTCAAGGAATTATGCAAATGAGATTGTGAGCGCTCACTAACAAGAAAGGCGCTCGCAAAGATTGTTGCTAAACTCAATTCAACTCGCCTGTTGCTTCGCCTTTGTACCTTCGTTTGTACGCATTGTCTTCATATCTTCTCGTTTAGCAAATCAAATATGCGATTCTTGTCGTTATTTGACATAGTTCATCGTATGTTTCTTTCCAGTTCATTGTGTTTTAAAGCAATAGGGAATAGCCATGTAATTTAAGTAAGGCTTATTTTTATAAATATAAAATAAATGACTCTTGAATTCTCCCGTCAATTCTTTTTTAGCATGAAATTAATTATTGCTAGTGCGAAAAACTTATGGGAAATTCAAATATCTGAATCGCGACTAAGTGGTTGTGACGTAAAGTAGGGCCAACGAGAAGCGATACAAAAGTTCATTCACCTTAGACGAGACTATAGGACTGACAGTTTAATAACTACCTCTTTCTTCTCATATATGGATATGACATTAGGTCTCATTTGATGGTCTGATTTGCTTAGAAGAATCGGCACCCGAATAAATAAGAAAATAATATAACAATGTTTCATTGCTGTCCCTGTTTTAAAATTGATTCAAGTTATTACTTTTTGAAATGTTAATTGTAATAAAACACAGTTTGTTACATTGAGAAATATATGCCTGTTAAAATGATAAAAGTCCTATGGCAAAGTTTACTAGAAAAAAATCCACGCGGACCAGGCAGCGGACGGGACCTGGCCTGGTCCGCGTGGATTTTTTTCTAGTAAACTTTTCTTTAGATTTAAAAATCTAGCAGTTAAATGCTTAAAAAATAAATAAAATCATAAAAGTCCTATGTTCATTTTAATAAATAAAAAAATATTTTCAATAACGTTGCCAACCCCTGCATTGGCTTTGTTTACATTTTATATCGCTTTTAGTTGGCCGTACTATAGTGACATAGAAACAAATCAACAAACAAGCGCCATTTTCACAGGATATGTCAAAGTTACTATAATAACTGTGGACTTGTTTGTTTTGTTACTATGTTGATTTGTGACGTGAAACCACATGTTACAAAATAGCACGCGTTTTTAATGCCCTTGCAAAGTGGCTATTTCATGCCATAATAAAAGAAGAAGGAGAAGTGGCAATTTTTAACATTATTTATAGACACATTTCACAATTTTTTTTGAAGTTGATTTTTTTTGAATGTAAACTAACATTCCCTCCATATTAAATATCATATCACAAAATAATCATGCATATTTAATAATCAGAAAATAATCATCCCTATTCTGCATTTTACATGAGCTTTTGAAATGAAACCAAGATTCAGAATTTAGATTTATTTTTTTCAACCTAACATTGTCGTAACTTTTAACTTGACAGATCACCAGCTAATATTAACAGGTGTACTCAATTAATGAACATTGTTCATACCTCTTAAATTATAATACAGTCAGTATCGGAAAACAATTACTCATCATTATCACGAAATTTACTTTTTATCACGAAAACACTATTCTTATAATTTACTAAATTCCATTTAGTCAATTGTTTAATATGAGTACGATGAATAAATAATAAATTCATTCGGCTCCTAAATGTTTAGCAATAGATAGCTAAAATTAGATAAAGATAAAGATGGAAGACATTGAATAATCCAATAGAAAGTTATTAAGAAAGTTATATAACTTTTAATGTCGTGGCGATCTAGATTCTTTTAAATGCAGTGAATTACATAACTACTCAAAAAAATAATAACAAATAGCTTCATAAAACAATGTTTAACAAGACGTTTGTTAATTAAGGAATGGTGGGTAAAACATCTGACTGTAAAAGTCTGACTTTACCATCAGATTCTTCTAATTTACAAAATTTCTCACATGACTTACAAACTTAATAGTCTCAACAAGAATTATATGTATGTATCTAACCTTCAACCCTACAGTATACATTAAGATCTGAATCTACCCACAATCAACTTCAAGCTAAATACATTAGAAATAGGAAAGGCACAGTCGAAGTATAAAATTTATTGCTGACTTCCCTAACTAGGTCTCTTTTCTTTAGAGTATCTCAAAATGTGCAGGCAATGCTTTAATCTATTTATAAACAAATTACAAAGTGTATGATTTTGTATTGTTTGCCTAAATTATTCTACTGCGTAACTTAATTTGGGACCTTAGGTTAAAAATTGTAAATTGTCGAAACTTATAAAATACTTCCTAAGTTTAGAAAAGTTTACAAAGATTTGGCACTGCTAATGACAGACTGTACTAAACAGAAAATAGCTTATTTTAATAATTTCAGATCACTATCATTGACCACAGCTAACCTCCAACCAGTTTGATGCTTCTCCCACACCTGCGCGACGAAGTTTTGGGTGGCTTTGGTACTAACTAAATTCGCTAAAATTAGCGTCCAAAATATGAATTAGTTCTATCGTAATAAATTATCGAGCTGCGCGTCTATAGCCGCTAGACAATAGCTTTACTGGCGATTTTTGACACGCATAAAAAAGGTTCTGGGAAATTATAAAGGACAATGTTAAAATTGGCCTAAGAACCAACACTAATTTGGCATTTATGATAATTCTTAGTATATTTTTTGCGATAGTTATCAGTATTTAGATTGTGACGGACACTTCCAGTTAAGTAAGCTAAATTTACAGTTAATAAATAATCCGAGACAATAATTACCATTTTATGTGTATAATCTATGACAGCGCTGCAAACAAAAAACACTATCTTCCTAATGCCGGCGCTTTACTTGGCTATTCGTATTTGCTTTTTAAAAACATGACATCAGTTTGTCCTTTTCATTCCTTATTAAGCATGACAAGGACAAACTGTTGTCAAGTAAAGAGCCGGCATAAATTCGATACTCCAGACTGTCTGCACCACAACCACAGAGGTTGTGGTGCAGGCAGTTTGCATTCGTAGTAATCTGTGCCATTCGTGCAAACGTGTGTGTTTATTTGCGATTGTTTTTCCTTTAATTTAACTATTACTATTTCGGCTATCTAATATGCCATCGATGTTACCAAAAAGCAGAGACCTTATTACAAAATGCAAGTGAACCTGTGCCACAACATCCTGAGAGGATTATGCCAAATTATTCAAGAGCACCTGATACACAGTCGCGCTGCATATTTACACAATATACATGTGTTAAACAAATAAATACTATATACAATATGATATAATTATGGGAAAAATAGTCAATAAATAATAAGAAGCAAAACTATTGTTTTTATTTTATTCATGATTCCTACCTAACCAAGTTTTTCCTAATACTTAGTTATTTTTTAAAATCGCACCGAATAAAATGAATAAGTTGTTATATTAATTCTTCACTTCATACTTAGTTCATAGGTTGACCTAAGTTTCATTGAATATTAAACATAATCTCAAAAAAAATTTAGTTTTCCTAAAAGTTCTCAGAAGTGTCCGTCAATAATCTATGTTTTTACAGTCATGTACTTGCGATTTCGAACATAGAAAATAATATTTTATGATTGTTGGTTCTTAGGCTAACTATGTATGGACGCAGAACAATGTCCTTTAGATGTGCAGCTTAAGGAGGTACTTACGATGGAACTAATTATAAATTTGAACGCTTATTTAAGTGCATTTTTGTATCAAAGCTTTGTCGCGCAGGTGTGGGAGAACAATGAGTTAGTATAATGACTACATTATAGTCTATTTTATATCTTTATGTGCGTATTGCCAGATACACGTCTAAATTACGTACGACTCTGTAAGAAAATATGATTCTTTTATATTCAGAAAATACTTTTATTATCTTTAAAAGAGATTACTCAATTCACGAACGATTGGTTCTGTTTCAGGTTCTTAATAGATTGAAAAGATCTATCTAGTAACAATTTACTACGAGGCTACACAGTCGTTGACTAGAAGTTTTTAGAAACAAAAACTAAACATCACACTTTAATTAAAACATAATAGGCTTTTTGTCATATCGTTGGATTATATGATTTAGGATAACATATACCTATATTACAATATTCAATGATTCGAAACCTTTTCTTACACTGTAAATCAATTCTAACATTAAATTGACTCACTAATAACAACTCCGTTGGAGACAACGAATGAAAACTATTTTGACATAATTATCTCACAAACCAATTGTTTGTTAACGTTGCTTTAAGACTCCTAGAGTTTCATCTATTCTATAATTTATAAATAACTAATAAAACTTTAACAGCAAGCACCGCACTAATTAAAATTACTCAATATAATTTTGAAGTGAACATAGCTCTCGTAGAAAACGTTCCACCACAACAAATTGACTAGTCCTAATTCCTATCTACCTAGTTTTATACACATTAGTTTAAATTTCTTAAAGTCATTTTACAAAATTGTTGAACCGGCCGCAATTGGTAAAGTAAGGATCGTTCAATGGAGTTTCCAAAGGCATGGAAAGAAAAAGAATTCACCACACGAATCGTCAAACACTTTTCACTCTGTCGGTTGAGTACGAAAATGCATCACTGAGGAATTTAAAACACTAATAAAAGTTTCTGCATCGTTGTAGCGCAACCGAGTTCAAACATTCATCTTATCTGTAGCACTCTGGGTAAAGAGAGGAGAGTTGTAGCGAGCCACATCTGAACAGCGTATCGTACGCTATTTAGATGTAGACTTCATGGTGTTGCTGCAGCCGGCTCCGCCTGGACTAGGAGCCTCTTTCTGACAGTTCCACAACGTCTTCACTCTCGGTCCTCGTCCCTTCTATTTTACGTCTTTCAGCAATCACTATTCGTATTTTTTCTTCCTCACTGATCGATTGATCCACAGTCTCAGCTGGAATCTGACTCTGAGGCCGAGCGGACGCCTGGCTGGTATCGTTTGCTACAGTTGATTCGGTAGACAACTTTCTTTTGGAAGTTAATCTCATATTTTGTCTTGTTGATGGTACGGCGAGTAGTACGGGGCGCAACAGTCTTGCTTCCTCGCCGCGGAGGGAGTTTCGTTTGTCGACGCGCTGCCTTCGATTTTGTGTGAACGAGTCCCTGTGCGGTGGACTACCTGGTTCCAGTTCCTCGATGTCATCAGCGTCTATGAATCTTGCATCTTCTTCGTACAGCGCCGCCGGCGGGTCCGATGTGGAATCCTGCCGACGTCGACCGAAGGCGTGAGGAGAGAGTGAAGCTCGTCTCGGAGGCAGTGCCGCTGGTAGTAAAGCGTGGTGCGAGTGCATTGTGCGTCTCCTGCGTGCGGGGGACAGTGCTTGTGGGTGTTTCGGTTCGCTGTACATGAAATTTGCTGGTAGGGATGGTACCTTGTTTAACGGTCGAGGTGGCAACTTGCATTGCTCCAACGCTCGGCATAGAGCTCTGTCCTCCTCATCGTCAGCTTCCCTTTCTAACTCACGTTCAAGTTCCACATCCATGTCCATCTCATCCTCCATTTGCTTGTGTGACTCTTCTAAATGTTTCATTAGTACCTGTAATGACGTAATAATAAATTTGATAAATTGACAACTTTGCATTGGGATCATAGCAGCTAAAGTAAAAAATAGGCACTTACGGCGACTACAACGTTGACCAGAACGAACTGTGCCATTAAGACAAATACGACGAAGAATATTGGTGCTATGATGGTAGATACGCAGCAGTTCCGAACGCAGTCCACTGAGCTGTCGCAGTCCTCACGGAGAGTATCTTTCATGATACCGTTCCAATTGTCTCCCGTCGCAACTCGGAAAAGCGTGAGGAACGCCATACCGAAATTAGCGAAATGGGCATGCTCTCCAAGTCCTAAAAAAGTTATGAAATGATGAAATAAATCTCATCTATAAAAAGTCTTTGAAATTAATTCTGATAATTTTAACTTAAAGTTTGTTTTTTTTAGTAATACACGTCACAGTAATACAATTTTTTGATACGAGCTGTTAAATTAATATTAATTAAATCACAGGACAAAACCATTACAAGGAAATTTAACAGACCGTTAATTTTTATAGTTAAGTGAAGCTTACCTTGACAAGGTATTTCATCTGAACATTCCAGTCTTCCAAAAAGTTCGACACCCAAGGCAGCAAAAATGAAAAATAGTAGAAAAAACAGCAAACCCAAGTTTCCGACTTGAGGCAAAGCTTGCATTACGGTATCCAGCAAGGCTCTTATGCCTTTCGCCATTTTTAATAGCTTTAGCACCCGTGCTATTCTCAATACCCTCATCACCCTCATTATGGTCGGGTTAATTGGAATTATATTAGTCTCTAGTTCCTCTAATACTATTCCCACTATTGATAGTATCACGATTATAACATCCAGTTGATTCCATTTGTCTTTCAAGTATATTTTAAACCCTAATGCTACAAGTTTCATTACTGCTTCCAGAATAAAAACAGCTGTGAAGAAATAGTTGAATATCTTCAACGCGTATTGTAGTGCTGGAGGCATTCTGTAATACTCAATTGCCATAGTTACTACGTTCAAACCGATTACTCCAGCTATAGCCAAGTCAAAATATTTGGAAGTTACTACATTATGTACAAAAAGACGTGTTTGGCAATAATTGGAATAATAGGGTCTTTGGTGCATTTCTGAAACAAACAAAAATAACAGTATCATAACAAACTAAACACTAAAGTATTGCCTTCCTATTACTTTAAATGAGGATTATCTGAATGAGTTAAAATAGAACCACTCATAAGAAAAATATGCTTGTTATAAACTCGAGAAATATGATAACCTACTCGTTTATTAATTCATAATGTGAATTATAAAAAAAAGTTTACCTAGTCATTTCAGAGATTTTTTCGAAGTAAGACCTTTAAAAATACAGCCTAAGATACTCACTTCTTCTTTTCTTCTCCATCTGCAGTGCTCTCTTGGCGGCTCTACGGACTCTCTCCTCTTTTTCCTGCTCCTCCCTACATCGGTGGAAATTCTCCACCACAACACCGACGAACATGTTTAGAACGAAGAAGCCCACAAGCAGAATGAACGCGATGAAATATAGAAGACGCCATTCGGAGTAGTTAACGATAGGCTGGGACAAAAAAACGTGTTATTTTGTTGTACTTCCATTTTATCTTTGTTTGGTCAGTGTATTAGAACTAGATTTATGTTACTTATTGTACCTACACTGTAAAATTTCATGTTATCTTTTAAAAGTGTTCTTTACTATATTTTTTTTTGATTTCAAAGTACCTTTTCGAAATGATTCAAATAAATATTTATCAATAGAACTGAATTTAATTGATAGGATGATTTTGACAAAATCTGTCGGAAACATGGGTTTCATTTTTACTGAAAGAGTAAAATTCAGGTTGTTGAATTATCTATTACCCACCTGTTGATCAACTCCGACGGCATCAAGACCTGTGTACATAATGTTAACCCATCCATCTCTGGAGCTGAGCACAAAAAGCGACATAAGCGCTTTACCGAGATCGTCAAAGTTATATTTGCGGTTAACCCATACGTTGCCATGGATCGCCAGGCAGTCAGTTTTGTTCTTCACATTCTTTATGTGCGCACCCTCACAATAAAAAAATGCTCCTTTGAATAACTGGAAAAATTATTGCTATTATATTTTTCTCAATCCGATTACAATTCTAATTATTAAAGAAAACCTTGAACAGCTTGAGAAGGATTCAATATTTAATGTTTATACATACTTGCACACCCAATATCCCGAATATAATAAAGAACGTGCAGCATATCAATACAATATTTCCTATTGGTCTTAATGAAGATAATAGTGTTTGGACAACAAGTTTCAAGCCGGGTGCTCGATTTATTACCCTTAGCGGGCGTAGTGATCTTAATAGCCTAAATACCTGTAAATTGAACAACTCCAGTTAGTTATTTACTTGAAAACTATAATTTATAATGCGCTAGGGAGTCTTACCCTGAGAATTCCAAATATTCTTGGACTAGACTCTGAGACCAGAGACATTAGTAGATCGATGATGGAGATAATAACTAATGAGCCGTCCATTATGTTCCACCCTGATGTGAAGTATGCCTCAGGGCCGTAAAACATTCCTGAAGCCACAACCTGTATACAGCAAAGTAGGTGTAAGTAAACATCAACTATATTATTAAAATATGAAAGATGATCAATTTGAAATAAGTTTTAGGTACAGCGACGTTTGTCTTTAATTTAACAGAAAAGGTCTTTATTCTGCGCTTAAAGGTTACGCTCTGGAAACACCATAGTAAAAAATTGTAAGCGTGATTTCCTGACGTTAAGTTTGTACTTATCAGAATTTGATTGAATTAACTATATTTATTTTTATAATTATCGAATGTGATAGTTACTTTAAGGATAAAACAGACATTCTCTTATGAGTGGGTAAAGTTCTTTTAATGTTTATGAAAGAAAGAAACAAAGAAAATAAACATCATTGATGGGGATTTAGGGTGAAAAATGCTTCTAATGATTTTCATGTGGCTCCACTTACCTTAATGAACATTTCGACGGCGAACACAACGGTGAACACGTAGTTGGCGCTGGAGAGGAAGGCTCTCTCCTTGGAGTCGGGCGGAATGTTGGGCCTCTCCATCGCTAGCGTGATGCAGTTGAGGGCGATGAATAAGAGCACTATGTTGTCGAACCAGCCTCTCGTCACCATCCAGGTGCAAAATCGTCTCATTCTAGTTGTATTTAAAAGTTACTTTGTAATTTTGTGAAAGTTAATTGCAAACAATAATTACAAATATTTAGCTAACACTGTTAGTACATTAAGCTAACTTATAAAGAATCTAGTGCATTTCTTGATAACTCATCAATAGGCTTGTGTCAACTAACAATAAATCGAATGGGTTACAGTTTCTAAATATGAATTATGATATACAGATAACAAAAAATAAAGCTATTTATCATAATAATTAAAGATTATTATTATTTTTAGAAAATAAATTCGAATAAAATAGGCATTAGATCACGTGACGGCAAACACCAATCAGAAAGACTGACGTCACCACGTGCAAAACATTACTTGTGGTTGCCGTTTCCATACATTTCATTGATATCTCATTCATGTTATTGTTACTTTGATACAAATTATCAGTTTGTTTTCAGATAAGTATTGAAAGGAAGCCTAATAAATCCATGGAATTGGGATTTACCGAAGCAAATAATAATATTTTAACCAAAATAAATAACCAAAATTAATCGCATAACTACTCGACATAATTAAGAAGTGTTTATTATTATGAATAAATATATTGAACTCTCAAATAGACTCTAAATCATACCATAAAATTAAATCAACTTACCTAACCTCAACCTATTGTCATTGTTTTATCAATATAATGCAATATAATTTATCCGGCTTGTATAACATTTTGATTTCATTGATTATGTTATGCAAAATACTTACATCAAAATGTTAATCACAAAATTATTCTTGTATTTGTTGATAAACAATGAATAGGTACCATCCCTCCTTGCAAGTTCTAAGTTCTAACCATTTTTTCCGCATTTGTGGCATATAAATAATTTGTCTGGCGTTTTATGCTTCTCCTTTTATACTAGGACACTATACAGTACTTGTAATGCGATGGATTCATTTTTAACTAAATAATTTTAATAGTCGGCGTACAGCGTATTGTTTGCTTTGCACGGCGTGACGTCATTCTAGACGCCATGACAGTCTAGAGCGTTTTCGAGGGAAATTTGAACAAGTTTTTTAAAATACAAAATACATATTGCTAATGTACTTTTTTATTTAAAATAACATTTTTTTGGGGTTAAATAAATATCAAGGTATATTATTAACCACTTTTTAAAATATAGGCAACTAGCCTATTCTAAATATACTTTGAAAATTTCGCGTTGCTAAAACGTTCGTTGTTGAAACGCGCGCTTTAATAAAAGTTTTTTCTTGCCTTCTTTGTCTTGACGTTTTGACCAGGTAACACCGATCGTGGTGACAGGGCGACTCAATCTCAATAATTTCTATCTCAAATGTTGTAGCTTCCTTGTAAATTGGTCTAATTAAGTTTTCAAGTATGACATTACCGAAATTTCTTAAAATATATTATATATTTGGGTCTCAATAAAAACAATAAATTTTCTAATTTCTAAAACTTACTTGTTGTCAGGAGCAAATATGTAAAGTGAATAGTCCTCCTTCTCCTTGAGACATCCTGTAGGTTCCATAAACCGAAAAAGATCTTTCACTTTGAACCTTCTCCTATCGAACCTCCCCGATAGTATACACATATTATTGTTGATTGATACCTAAAAGTAGAAAATAGTACATTGTTCACCGAGAGGAGAAAGTGACCGATTACCAACGAGAGTGCAGTTTGAGGCCCGAGGAGCAGTCAAGGGCCTTAATACACCCGAGTTGGGAATATTACCTTATTTCGAGGGATACATAGTGCATTAAACTATACTGTTACTACTAGGAAATAAAAGACAAATTCTTTAATTGAAATTAATATTAAACTTGTTACAGTTACTAAACTTTTGCCTGGGAGCTTTATATTTATATTGGTTTCTTGATTTCACGGATAATAGGTTCTCTATAACTGCTCAGGTAGTTTCTTTTAACTCTAGCGGTATCAATAAATATTCATTATCATTAATATACACCGTCTCGAGTAGATAGGAAAACAAACTTAACACACAGTTAATATAAAATAATCAGTGCGCTTTTTAATTTTTGTTCCTATTTCAAAAATAATGTTCAGAAAGCAAATAGCATAATGTATAAAAAATTGACCGCTAAGTCTGCAAAATCATACTGACCACCTTTCGAAACATAAATAAGAAAAAAACATCATTTTAACAATGTATTTCCATAGCCTTTTTTTGCCCGCTCCTCGCGTTAAAAATGGATTTCCATACACTTTTCCAGCCTGCTTAGTCGTACAACAGTAATGAGGTCATTTCTGTTTCATTTTTAAAACAAGAATAAAGCACTTTCCGAGTTAGTGTAGTATAAATATATTTTCACCACATCTCTTAAAATTGTAAGTTGATTATTTAATACAAGTGTTTCAGCTCATTAGCGCAATCTAATAACATATACGAAGAAACTGGTGCATGTGCAACAGATTTATGTCGACAAATAACAGTATGTTTATGTGGGTATGTGTTTTTTTCCCTATAACGTACGCCTTAACTCTAACTTTCATAGTTTTTAAAGTATTTAAGACACGACAGGAAAGAGCTCACGATATATCGAACGTTGATTTCAAGAGTGCGCTTCTAGTTTTTTCTCACAGATACAGTAAGCAGAATCTGGCTTGCCATTAAAAACATGCTTATCTTAAATGTGCATGGTCATTCATGACCTTGATATAACATACATATGCTTTACGTAACGATCGGGGAGCTTGTTACAACTACGCAAAAAAAAACTGGTATATCGCTTAGTGCTGACTGGTGTTAAGATAAACTGAGTCGTTTTCTCGAATGAGGCTGTCAGATTGCTATTTTAAGAACTTTGCCTACTCATTTCTATTTGAAAAGGGGAAATATCTGCCCAAATACTGCCTTTTAAGTGACTACCTTTTTAGTGACGCAAATGTTTAGACCTAAATTATTGTATTTATGTATAAGGATTATTGATATAATAATATGGATTAATTGGTGTCACTGAATAAAACATTTTCTTTCTTTCATTCTTTCAAATACTACATTTAGGCATCCTCGTTAACCATTCAAAATCGACTTGTGCCAGACATCTGTTTAGTATTTAGTATTAGCTAAGTATATCCATATATAATTTATTATAAATTTATGGCGATCTGTTTTATCTATCCATAAGAACAGGTGAAAATGGTAAATTCTTTTAATTATACCCACATAAACATACTGTTATTTGTAGACATAAAACTGCTAGATATGCACAAGTTTCTTCATATACAGTGTGGTCCAACTAGAGACGTCAACAATTTATTTTAGATTCCTCGCACTTGGGGGTATCCAAAAATACCCCATGTATGTTCCGCGATTTTTCTTAGTTTTCGAGTTATAATTTTTTTGTGTATTTTTAATGATTTCTGCCAGCGAGGTTTCAAAAATTTTTTTTTATAGTAGGTATTTTGTAGTCTTTCTTTTGTGACATAATTGTCTTGAATGTTGTTTTAATAAAAAAATAACTCAACTTCCAGCAATTACTTAAAGTTACTCAAGTTGGATCTTTAGTTTTAATAGGATTTACTCAAACGTTTAACTTCAATACAAAAATACAAAAAGGAGTTTCCATAGGTTCTCGCTAAAATTGAAAAATCTGCATGCTACTAAACTACCAAAAATCATAAAAAAAATGTACTTAAACAGCCTATTTTTGTTGTAATTGGCTTTCGGCCTTCAAAAGCTTTAATCGTGTTTCAAATAATTTTTAGCCTATCCGCCTTCAAAAGCCAATTTGTGCTTCTAAATTGAAGTTGAATGTTTGAGTGAATTCTACTAAATACTAAAGTTCCAACTTTCAAGCCTTTTTGAGTAACTTTAAGTACTTGAAGGAGGCTGAGTTATTTTTTTATTAAAACAACGTTCAAGACAATTATGTCACAAAAAAAGACTGCAAAATACCTACTACGAAAAAAGATAAGAATTTTTGAAACCTCGTGGCAGAAATCATTAGAAATACACATAAAAAATTATAGCTCGAAAACTAAGAAAAATCGCGAAACATACATGGGGTATTTTCGGACACTTTCGTATAGGTGCGAGGAATCTAAAAAAAATGTTGACGTCACTAGTTGGACCAACCTGTATGTAAGTAGATTGCTTTAATGAGCTGGAGCACTAGTATTAAATAATCAACGTACTTATTAAAGTGAGATCAACGAAGTCATTAATGGTTCCGCTGTGCTTGTAATCGATAGCGCTGCGCTACTCCTACAACTAGTGATGCTGATATAACAGATAAAAAAGTGGTCTTTTTTCATAGGACTACACGCTTAAGTAGAACTAGGTGGACTATACGGAGTACTTTTCACTGAGATATTCGTGGTCAATAAATTATAAACAGATGATTTTCAAACGACTTACTTCTTCGTTGATTTGCTTGATCAGTGGCAAGGGCTGGTTAGGCCGGGGAGGCAGCGTGGGGGCTTCAGATCGAGACGTACGAGGCGCTACTGGCAACGGGGATGAGGGTGTGAGGTTGCTGGCCTTCACTTCAGATACGGACGTCACTATATTGAAATAAATAAATAATAATTGAGGGGTATACAATCAAAGTTGGTAAAGTCCGTATTGCCAAAATGTTCAGTAAACTATAAAAACGATTATTTTCATAATTACAGGTAACTATTCTAATGTTTAACATTATTTATATGCAGAATGTAATACATTATTTAAATACAAGTGTTCATCATGTTCAGTTCAATACTTTTTTAATTTTTGAGTAAAACCTTAAGTATAAGATAGACTTTTCCAGTTTTCCACACCACATTACCACACATCATTAAGAATACATAGAAAACGATATTCATGCGACCTATCGATATAATTGCATGGTATGTAATTGCGTGGTACAAGGCACGATACAAGTTTTTTAATGGTTGTCCGTTATTTTTTGTCAAGATACTTATGCTTATTGGCGAATTTTATTGCTCTAGAAAATCAATAATATACTTCGAGGTTTTGTTCACTTTTAAAATAAAGTTCATAGAAATGTAAGCAAAAATCTTAAATTTACTTTTATAAGTAGTCACTAAGTAAATATCAGACAAGATATAAAGCTTGTGTTTCAAATATTCTAATCATCTTCTAACAGGTGTTTTTTATGTGAAGTGATTCGCATAATAAATAATGTATATTTTCGTTGAACTTAAATACTAACTTGCTTTACCACAACAATATAAGTGAGAAAGGATAAAACTTTGAGTGTGATTCATGCTAATAATTTGAACAAAGAAAATTTCAGTTTGACTTAAATCAGAACATTATGTTTAATTTTCCCTTTTCACTACATAAATATTCCATGAATTTCATGCTTATTTACTGGTAAAGTCTGTGCGGAAAGAGAATGGCATTTAGATTGTAGGGCGCTGTAGTGCTTTTCTACCGTATTTGTAAGGTTTTACCCCTTTTAGACATGCTTAAATACAAAAAACCGCAAGAAATCACAACAACAAACAAATCCGCATCAACACAAAACTTTGACGTTTTAGAGATTGCTGGGTTTGATTTCTAAATAAAAATCTTAACGTTAGTTCCGTTTTTCGCCAAGCCCATTCTCTTTCCGCACAGACTCTACCTGTGACCACAGATGCAAGTTTGAAAATGATGATAAAGTTAATGTTCTTTTATTTTTTATGGTAAGAAGATTGATATATTGTACAACGGCAATAGGTATAACATCACAATTTTGGAAAAAAAGTTTGCAAGGCGTGATTCTAAAGTGAGAATGCTGTAACAGAAGGATACGTCGTGAAATATATCCTACACAGTTTAATTAACCTAACCTTTTTCTAACGACTTTACTTTAAATTATTCATGGCCATTAAAAATGTTGAAAGTAAGTAATTATATCTTGTATTTTATTTAATTATTAGTGTAAAAAAGGGCAAAATAATTTATAATATATGCATATAATATCAAACTGTTGAATACAAGAGTAAAAAAAAAATCAACCATCTGTATCTACTTTGGCAAGTTTTATTTACCATTTTTAGGGTTCCGTACCCAAGGGTAAAAGCGAAACCCTATTGAAAAAATCCACTCTCCGTCTGTCTGTCTGTCTGTCTGTCATCAGCATGTTTCTCAGAAACCGTGAAATGTTCACCGATGATGTATTTCTGCTTCCGCTATTACTACAAAATTAAATACTAAAAACAGAATACAAATTATATTTAATATGGGCTCCCGTACAACAAACTTGATTTTTTTTGCCGTTTTTTGGTCTATATTAATAACGGCAACAAGTAGACGCTTAAAATATTCACAGAATATTTAGTATAGTCACTTGAAAAAGAAATCATTAAATTAAAATATATGAATAAGGGGGCTTGATATTATAATATTGTATATGTATAATATAATGTTGCATAGTTAATGTTAGGTACTGAACCCTTCATGCGCGACTCCGACTCGCACTTATTACATTCCAAATCATAACAATGTGAGTACGAAAAAATTTACATACTTCATATACTTTTAAAGCTTCGCTTACGTGACGCTCAAGGATTTAGAGAATAATTTATGAACTTTCCCTGTTTTATTTACATTGCTGTACCTAACGATATGTCTTAACGATTCCAAAGTTACTAACGAAGTAAAAAAAGAAAAAAATAAGGTTACATAAACACGAAATAATTATAGTTTTATTTTCATTCTGTTACTAGTAGGTCTGTCTGCACACAAACATGCAATATTTCCAAATTATTCATTCGTAAAGAATTTTTAATATTGTCGATAATTTTATATTCAGTAAACATTACACAACATTGCAATTCCTAGTGGATTGCAGTAAGACAAAATAAAATAAATTGCTGTTTCTTTCCGCCGATACGTAATAGCGTATTTTCTGATTTTTTGGAATTTGCTTATATTTAAAGATTGGGACAAACGTTTTAACAGAAAAATAAAAATAAATAAATTAACGTATTTTTTTCTCCATTAGACCAATTAAAGTTGAATTTATTTTAAATGGTTTTGAATATTCCGCCAAAACGCTCGGTTCGAGGACGTCTACTGTGTGACGTCAACTTTGTGTATACTATGTAATCATCTGCAGGTCAAATTATTAACTTTTTTTACGTTCGGGATAAATTTATAATATAATACTTACACAAAATTTTTGATGTTTCGTAACTCTTAAGCACAGAAATCAGGATTAGTAGCGATTCTTCGCTACATAATACTTTGCAAATTTCTATTTGCAAAGTATTATACTATAAATTTATCCCGAACGTAAAAAAAGTTAATAATTTGACCTTCAGATGATTACATAGCATACAGAAAGTTGACGTCACACAGTAGACGTCTACGAACCGAGCGTTTTGGCGGTAAATTCAAAACCATCAAAAGTAAATTCAACTTTAATTGGTCTAATGGAGAAAAAAAGACACTAATTAATTTATTTTTCTGTTAAATCGTTTGTCCAAATCTTTAAATATAAGCAGTTTTCAAAAATTTTTAAAAATACCCTATTATTGTCTTAACCTACGATCGCTACGAGCTACCTACGTTACGCGTAGCAAACCGTAGCAACAACGAAGTACAAAAATACTTTGTTGCTCACACTAGTTTTTTCTCTCGATTAAATGGAACGGAACTTCCTTTCTGTTAGTTACAAATTAAGTTTGCTATAAATTAAGGATCTTCTACCGAACGAATTAAGCGAAAAGCGTATTTACTAACAGAGAATGAAATGAAATGAAAATATCGCAAACTGAATCTTAATCTGAGCACAAACAACTTTGTCATGACTTCAGATGAAGGCGCAGTTGATATTTATACTCTCGAATTAATAAGGCTCTCGTATTCTGGCACACTAATCGTTTGAATAAATAACACGAGCGCGGCTATTTGTTAGCACAAATATTTGTTTCACCCTTAGCGCAGGGCCGTGTTGTGCTGTTCAAGTTTGAAATATTTGCCTTGGGATTGCTACTTGTTTCGGCTCAAGCTCTAATGTGTGTGGTCAAAGCGTTTGATCCTTTGCAAATAGTAAAAGGTTTTTATTTTTACAATTTAACGAAAACAGCGAACACGTTTTCGGTTTGTGGAATTCTATATTAACTTAACGTTTGAGTACATGTATCAAAGGTAGTATGATATTTATGATATTTTTATATGTAAATCAGCGACTCGCCCGTATAGTTGCAGTATTCTAATCAGAGATTGAGATAGTGTTGAGATTTTGATATGAGGAACCATCGCGATTACAAAATTTTATGGTGGTACCTAGACGATTTTCTAAGAAAAATATTTCATAAATACCTTGTTCTTACAAACAAAACACAAGAAAAAAAAGAAGTTCATTCAGTTCAGTTCATTTTTAAGGGTTCTGTTGTCCTGAAATGAAAACGTATAGTTTCGTCAAGTCCCTCTGTCTGTTTGTCCGAGGTTTTGCTTAGAGACTATTGGCACAAGAGAAATGTAATTCTGTCGAGGTATGTATATCAATCACGGCGTCAAAGTGGTAGAATACAATTTTTCTTTATTGCAGCTAACATTTAGTTTTTTCAAGTAATCTGGGGGACGTTTTTTTTATCGTCTACCCCTATCGTGTAGGGTATAGGTCTTTTCGTTGAATAGGTCTTTTAAAATTACTTTCGTTTTCGTTCGTTTGCGAAATAATAAACTTTAAAGTGCTAATTTCTGTTTGAGTAGGGCGTCCCCCCTCTAAAAGCTTATCTTGTTTTAAAAATCGCGAATTTAGTGCTGTCCATGAACTTTTAAGTAAAGGTATAACACTTAAAATAGATAAGTTACCAAAGTAACAACTAACAGTTGTTCAACTTATGTATTACAACATTTCTTACCTAATAAAATTACCTTAGAAGAAAACTTTGAAGACTCCTTCTGAGATATATTGTGAAAACGACGGGCAACCAGGGAACCCTATACTGCGCAAAGGACTACACGCACTTGACCGGTTTTTATTTAAATATAGTTAATCGCTACATCTTAAATCGAAAGAAAATTTTACGAAGCAAGCAAACTCAACTCATCCAAAGTACCCGACTCAATTCAAATGAAAACTCCGTTATTCATGCGAATGCAATACCTATGCTACCTGGACTTTAACGATTATCTGGAATACTTAAACTATTCCTTAGATGATGCAGAATCAGAATTATTTATTTTCATTTAAGATAACTAAACTTAAAAGTATAGATAAATATAAATAAATAAGATAAGATAGATAAATATAAATAAATAAGATAAATATAGAGTTTCGACTTACCTGTCAAATAGTCGTTAGTTAGTGAAAGTCGATGTGGTGGTGATTTAACAGAGTCCAACCGAACAGTCGAGTCTGCTGAAAAGCCCGCTTCCGGTGCTTTCCACGACACCTTAAAAGGTAATGAAGATGTGAATACACTGTAGCGTTAAGTGTCTACCTTGTAGAACTTAATTACATGGACGATATAAAACCAACGTGTTGTTACTTCCGCTTATAGAAGGTTTCGCTGGCTTTTGCTGGTGCTTTAAAGTATAAATTAAATGAGTTAATGGCGAGGCGACGCGACATGTAAAGTGTTTATAAAAGTAGATCTTTTCCATATTTTGTACATATACTAGTTTACACAATGATTTCATTATAAAATTATTAATGACGTTTTTCAATTTAATAAAAAATCGGAGAATAGGTTGTACAAATGCCTTATATACATATACATAGATTTTTTATTGAATTGAAAAAGTCATTAATCATTTTATACTGAAATCATTGTGTAAACTAGTTTATGAAAAAAATATGGAAAAGGCGGTGTCTAAATACAGAGAAGGCATTACTTTTTATTTTAATCGCCTTGTGCTAACGACGAAGCTTGGGTAGAGCATTACTCGTATCTTGTTTACACTATCCTACTTTTTTATTCACTATATGAACAAATACTCTTCAGGCTGAGTTAGAATTGTTAATGTAATGAATCGCCTGGCAATAGTAATAATAAATACATATTGCCCACTTCTATAATACTGTCATTATTCCTTATAATATCATAAAAAAAATATCTTAATATATAAAACATAAAAAATAATCTACTTATGTCCGTTAAAGACTTTGAAACCATCGTAGTTGGGCAATTTAGACTGAGTTACTTCTTGATCACTATTGACAATGACACTAGTTATTCATTCTTCATCTTGATACCTCGATAGAACACTTTGTAATGTCTGAATTAGATAAGAGATTAGAGACGGTCAAACGAGCCCTGCTCTAAGTGAGTTTCTGCATTCCTTGCCGCTATCCAACGGTAGATTTATATAAACTAACTGGGGTATTAACTGTGCGACAACTTTTTATTTTGCATACAGTGATCAAACAGCACTCTGATATACGAACCCAGTAAAAGTGATCTTCTACGTAGAAGAAACAGAATCTGTTCACAACGTCGATTTAATATTATGAAATTCTCACAGCGATTTTTCTGTTTTCAAGGCGGTAGTTTGTACAATTAAATTAATAACACTATCTATTTATAATTTCACAAAATTCAAATTAAAGCGAATAGCATAAAATTGGTTACATAATCTGGATTATATAACAACGGAGAATCTTTTGAGCAGTGTACTTTCTATTAGATTATACAATGAAATTCCATCAAATGAGTATGTTTTTAATTTATTTTTATGGAAAGTAAAGTAATTTAAAGCTCCGACTGAGAGTCGTTCTTGATCACCATTTACGATGACAGTGGTAACTCGTACTTCTAGCCTTGATAGAATGCTATGTTATGTGATAATTACGTAAGGAAATAGCGGTGCAGTGTAGGCGGAGACTAGCCTCGCGGGTAGCGCCAGTACTCTCGGCGCCGGCAGCTGGCCCCTGGACCGGTTGTTGGGCAGCTCCGAGTGAGTGTCGTTCTTAATCACCATTGACGATGACAGTAGCAACTCATCCTTGACCTTCATTCCTTGATAGAACGTTATGTAATGTGGTACTTACGTCAGGTAACAGCGGTGCAGTGTGAGCGGAGACTCGCCTCACGGGTGGCGCCAGCACTCTCGGCGCCGGCAGCTGGCCCCTAGACTGATTGTTGGGCAGCTCCGACTGAGTATCGTTCTTGATCACCGTAGATTAGGACAGTAGTAACTCATCCTTCACCTTGATTCCTTGATAGAACGTTATGTAATGTGGTACTTACGTCAGGTAACAGCGGTGCAGTGTAGGCGGAGATTCGCCTCGCGGGTAGCGCCAGTACTCTCGGCGCCGGCAGCTGGCCCCTGGACCCGTTGTTGGGCAGCTCTGGCTGAGTATCGTTCTTGATCTCCCTAGATTAGGACAGTAGCAACTCATCCTTCACCTTCATTCCTTGATAGAACGTTATGTAATGTGGTACTTACGTCAGGCAACAGCGGTGCAGTGTGGGCGGAGACTCGCCTCGCGGGTGGCGCCAGCACTCTCGCTGCCGGCAGCTGGTCCCTGGACCGGTTGTTGCAAAGCTCTGACTAAGTGTCGTTCTTGATCACCGTAGATTAGGACAGTAGTAACTCATCCTTCACCTTCATTCCTTGATAGAAGGTAATGTAATGTGAAACTTACGTCAGGCAACAGCGGTGCAGTGTGGGCGCACTCTCGACTCCGGCAGCTTTCCCCTGGACCGGCTGTTGGGCAGCTTCGACTGAGTGTCGTTCCTTATCACCATTGACCATGATAGTAGTAATTCATTCTTTACCTTGATTCCTTGATAGAACGTTATGTAATGTGATACTAACGTCAGGCAACAGCGGTGCAGTGTGGGCGGAGACTCGCCTCGCGGGTGGCGCCAGCACTCTCGGCGCCGGCAGCTGGCCCCTAGACCGGTTGTTGGGCAGCTCCGACTGAGTGTCGTTCTTAATCACCATTGACGATGACAGTAGCAACTCATTCTTCCGCAACCCTGAACCTAAAAACATCTCCAAATATATAATCAACTTCTATGTTATTTAGGATCTTTTCATATATAGTTACACTTACAAAAATTCAGAATGCTGAGTTTGTTCATCATCATTTTATTTCGAATGATAAAATGTGTATGGGTCCAGTTTTGACGAGTGTTAAGTGTAATTTACAGATTTAAATACATTTATATGTCAAAGTTTTTAAAATAAAAGAAAACTTTCCATACCACAATATTCAAATGACTGAGTATGACTAAGTAGCGGTGGTATACGATGAAAATCATTTTATTAGATAACACTACACCTGGTGCTGTGTCTTTGATATGGTTATGATTATTATCTACTACCTACCTACTATAACCTAATATTTACCATTGCACGTGGCATGATCCCTGCCGTTGTTGAGCACGATTGCATCAGAATCGGAGCCGGTGCGTTGTTTCTGTTTCCGCCGCAGACTCGGCCGCGAGAGCCGCCAGCTGTAGCCGCGCTGCACTCGGCACTTTTCATCGCCACTCACGCCTGCACTGGAGGCGCTTAGACTCCTATCATAATAAAATGTCGATGTAATTTAACTGATCAACTAATGAAGGTCCATCTTATATAGCTTTATACAAAACAATAATTTCTTTTTTCAAAACAGATTTTTTATAGGAAAAATTAAATTTTCCTTTTCGAACAGCAAAATATTTTCCTTACAATTTTTGTTTAAAAACGATTTAAGGCTCAATTGACACTTGGTCATTAGCCCGTATTCGGGTACACGAAAGGCTCATTCGAATTCGAGCACCCGAAACAATATTTACACTGGAATACGGGCTGGAAGCCAGTGTCCGGTAACCAAAATCTATATAATGTAATCGAGACATTTAACATACGAAGAAAAACTTTCAATAACTGAATTGCAAAAATTATTACTTACTTTTGTGAGCTGAGGAGACTCGACTTGTCGCTGGTGTTTAAACAGTGGTCGTCTTTTATAATTGTGACCTGAAGGTTCTTTTCAGGCAGTAGTGGTGAAGCTATAGACTTTGGGGTACTAGGAGTTGTGGACCCAGGGGATACCGATCTGAGGGGGGGAGGCGCTAAAGTTAAGGGTGGTGGGGCAAGTGTCATAGGGGGAAGACGAGCTTTCTCTGACCCTAACTGCGCGGCAGCTGAGTGCAGTGTAAGTGTATAACTGTTAGGTGGTTTCAGAAGTCCTGGTATGCTCGTACACTGAAAAATTAGAAGCTTTTGTAGATAATTGGTTTTATTTTTGTTTCGAACACGAATTAGTAATTGTCTTACAGTAATAGGTATAGAAAAGGAATGATATTATATCATATCACTTTAATGTTATGGTACATTTTAAGATTCGTTGAAATAGATTGTATTTAAAGATATCAAAGACAAACATAGGTTTTCATATTAAAGTATATAACTTATAATATAAGTTGGTGCTGTGCAGTGCAAAATTGTATGTTGATTATTTCGTAAAATTCTATGGTTGTAACGCATAAATATGTTAACCTTTATATATGATTTATACTTAAAAAATAAGAATACTCACAGAAGTTCGGTCTATAGAATCCAAACTCGAAAGCATCGAAGACCGTTCTAGAGTTAAAGCTAGGTTGAAGTCCCTGAAAGAAGCCCCTGGCTCCAAGGTTGTGGACGGCGAGTCTTGTGGCGTGGCCGCGGTGTGAGTGATCATGGGAACTATGGTAGTTTCGTTGGGTGCAGCGCCACTTGCCAACATTTTTGATTCCTGTTGGGCAACATCTATAATAGTGATCAAACCGATATTTTTATCAACAAGAAGACCTAGCATATTATTCCATAGGATCGATAGAGCAGTAGCTGGCGCCTGTGTCTCAGCAATGAAGATAATAAAATGTTAAATGTCAATTGTGAATAAATGGAATCCAGTTGCAAATATAGCTTAACCTGCTGGCTTGAATTAGATTCCCCTATCTTTTGAAGCAATACAACTCTGAGACTAATAACTTGCGGCGCAATTTTTTCCCACGCCCGCCATAGCTGCGTCACCGTGCGTAGAATGTGAAATTGTACGAAAGTGTATTATTATAATGTGTATTGAATTTCACGGTGCGATTTACGCCCGAAGAGTGGGGAAAACCACTCAGTAAGTTCATTCATAGTCTGAATTAGTATAATAATTGTAGGAAGGCCAAAGGGGCCTCCGAGTTATATGATGGTAGCTCGGGGACACGGATCGACTGTTTTTTTTTGTGCATGCTGTTGTTCACAGATGACCTTTACAGAGTCATTGAGTTTGGGGACAGTGAGATCCTAAGGGGACCTCAAGCTGTGAATTGGCGAGTGTCTCTAGAGTTATTCCAGGCGGATGGCATCTCCCCACACGGGGGGAGTCTCTTCTCCGTCTGGAGCCTTTAGACCAGTCGAGCCTGAGACCGACTGATGCTGGTCGGGCATTGCAGATATGAAGTGTTAGCCTCCGAATTTTGCTTGCGAGATGTAGGCTTCCATGCTTTGTGAGCGCAGCGCCGGTAGCGCCATCTCTTGAGGAGGCGAGTGATTATTTACTCCATGTTGTTATATGTGGGGCATGTATTTGTCGCCGACACATAATTATAGCAAAGATTATTTCCTCAAAAGTAAAATCCGCTGTGTATGAGTTCCTAATTGGTGTGTATTCTAGAGAGCAGTAAATAGTTTGACACTTCCCATTGTTGTTGTCCTATACTGTCTAATTTGGCTTGCTAAAAATAATAATTTGACATATCATGTTCTTTAATGTACTATAGATAATAATTTAAGGTCGGTAAAATATAGAGAAAAGATACATTAATTAATTTATTAATAAAACACATTCAACCAATTAAATATTCCCAAAGGCAGTGGTTCGAATTAAGATTTAGATGTAAGACTCTTCACGAAATTCAATTATCCCTACCAGTTCTACGGCTAAGCTTCGGACTTACATTTAATGTAACACTGAGGCATTCTGTAATTAATAAGGTTTAATTAAGTTTAACTAATAACAAAAGTTTAATAGCACCAGGAAAATTTCTTCTTCAGTAAGTATAATTACATAGAAACTGAATTTAAGATAATTGTTATCAAGTCTTATCAGGTCTCTTGTTCGAATCCCGGTGGGGCAAATGTTAGTATATATATATATATATATATATATATAGATAACTACCAAGACCAATAGCAGTTTCAAAGTAACTCGCTAATATGACTTTATAATGATTGTGTAATATTAATTGACTGCATGAATAAGTTGTTTCAAAGTCTAATGAAATATATTCACCTTTGTATTATTCATAGAACTGTTTTCAATAGTTCTTTGATTTTATATAGCAGCTACTCCATTGGGGTTGTTAACGAAAATTTATTACGTTTGCTACGTCTATAGAACGTTAAATTACATTTTCTTATTGAGAAGTTAGTAAATTACCCATTCATCAGCCATCACAGAGTATGTTTAAATAAACAAAATAAGTAAAGAAAAATGTACTGATACACATATTTCAATTGAAGGCACTCAGTTTTAGAGATGTTATACATGGAGTGTTTTAAAATATATCTGCTCTTTGAAAAATACGCCATTCAATAACTTATTTTTTATTTTTTAATACTCACACCAATTAGCCTAGCCCCAAAGTAAGCACTGTCAGGCTTGTGTTATGGGATACTAGGGTGACGCATAGAATACATATACTGTACATATATAAGTATATTTATATAGAAATACATATTAATCATCCATGACTGGAGTACAAATTGTTCGTATTCATCACACAAACATCTGCCCCCACCGGGATTCGAACCCGGGAGGGACCTCTTGAGTCAGCGACACCATAAAACCCGGCGCACAAGCCACTCCGTGGGTCGTCAAAATAACGTAAACTATCATACTTTAACTCATTTTTTTAATAACAACTAAGAAAATGTAGAACAGAAATCTGTTAACTTTTCTGCTTATAATAAAAGTGAAAGTTTGTGTATTTTTTTACTCAATCAATGATCATGATGTGTGTTACAGTACAATTTCAGGACAATTTCTTATGTTTTGAAACAATAAATAACTCACATAAATTAACTATCACATTTCAACTGTAATTTTTAATAACCGATATAGAAATGCGGAACAAAAATTTGTAAGCTTTCCCGCTTATGTCTTAAGTGTGGTGTAAATTAAGTGTAAAGGATATTTTTAGAATTCTAAAGGATATTTATATATTATATTTCAAGCACACCAATAATTAAATAAAGCCCTTTTTTTACGACCGCAAGTACAACTATGGAGCCTGTGTAGAATTTGTAACATCAGGAATAATGAAAATAAATCGCGCTTCATACCCAAACAATATTTTTTTATTAAATTTAGATACCTTTCGTCGGAAATTTCGTTCGGAAAATGTTAATCTGCTATGGTATTTTTAAAAAGCGAACTATATGAACTACACAATTGACACGGACGAAAACGGTAGTAGTATTAGAAAAATTTTATTAGAAAAAAATCCACTCGTTCCATTAAGCAGACGGGACTCGAAACATCACCCTCCGCTATCCGGGCGGATGAACTCACCAATTATGCTACCGTGACCTTAATGGCCGTGTCAAATATCTTAGGCTGCAAGTTAGATTCTTTAGGTTTAAATATCCATCAGTAAATGTTTAAATTAATAAAAATATAGTGGTAAATTACCTTTTGAATGTTACATTTGTTGGATTGCGCACAATCCTTGCAGAGCTTCGGGTGGTGCGACGAGGATTTCTGTCGGCGTCGTGGTTTGGCCGCTTTATCTTTTTGCCCGTTCACATCCTCTTTGGCTTTCCGCACATCGTCCGCCGATCGCCAGTAGTTTTTTATTTCGTTCTGTAATTTAATATTATTGATGAAAACGCATTCATGGATGTACACAATGCACACACGAGGTCTTTCCAGACTTAAGGCCCTTTATGGAAATCAAATGGAATAAAATTACGAGATCATCCTAGAGGATATCATGAAATGGAAACCTCTTTCGTGAAATTGAAACATATTTGTTACTTGGCAATTAGAGGGATATTTGTTTTGCAATATTATTATGGATTCGACTGTCCAGTATTATTAATCTTTTTAGGATTATGATTACTAAAGTACCGATGAATATTGATTACAATATTTGTTATTCCATAACACACATAAAAGATTGAAATACTTTTAAAATAATTGGATTTTTATACAAAAATACGCTAGGGATTCTAATTTAAAAACCCACATGGATTGAAGGTGTGGGCACAATTTAGCATTAATTTTATTATGTTTTCAATTCAATTTGTTGATTAACTGATTTAACTCGTATTATTATTTATTAGGAATTTTATCTAAATCGAGCGTTGAAGTTAAGCAACTTTCGCAGTGGTCGGTCATTGGATGGGTGACCAAAAATCTTCTATCTCTATTTCCTCCATGCTTCGGAAGGCACGCTTAGCCGTTGGTCCCGGCTGCATCTGCAGTTGTTAGCACCCGCCAATCCGCACGGGGCCCGTGTGGTGGGTCATGGCCTAATCTCCCTATTCCATCCATAGGGAAGGCCTGTGTCCCAGCAGTGGGAACATTAATAGCCTGATGATGATTCTTTATTAGTGAAACATTAGTAAAAAAGTATTCTATTTAAAATAATTTAACATGATTTTCAGTAATAAAAGCGCCAATATTGCACAGTAGCTTACTTTAATCACCGTTATATTTTAACAGAGCACCAACATACGACAGAGATACATAATTAACTTTTAAGGTATAATTAAATTTAATATTGTCACTTTTTTGTGAAAACATTTGCAATAGAATAAGATGACGCGTGACTTTAAAAGCTTAAACTCATCTGACGTCTCTAATAGCTTTAGCAAGACTAAATATTTCTTAAACCGTCCTCTTCTAGAACCGGTCTACAGCTACACAACGGTCTGTTGTGAATGCAAACCATCAAAATTTATCCAGTCGTTTAGGAGGAGTTCAATCACATACACACGGATATAATCACACTAATATTATAAAGGTCAAAGTTTGTGAATGTGTATGTTTGTTAGTTCTTCACGTCTAAACGGCTGGACTGATTTTAATAAAATTTGGTATGGAGTTAGCTGACACCCTGGATTAACATATAGGCTACGTTTTACTGCGGGAAAATATCCCTAATAAACCGCGGGTAACACCGCGGGGTATAGCTAGTATAAATATAAAATGATAATGATGATATGGCATACCTATAATATATAGTATACGAATATTGTCCTTATTAAGGTCATCGTTCATTAGGGCCAACCGGCTTCCGACTAGTACCGTTTCATCTAGCTTGGTGAAAATTCTTAATATGGACTTTTATTGACATGGTTGTTTCTTGTTGTGTACGCAGTATTAAGCCGATAGTATTTGATGAGAGAGAGAGGAGAATCCAAAATTCAATACAGGTTCTAAACTATATGAGTACCGAATTCCATCCAAATGTGTTCAGTGGTTTTTGTATGATTGAGTAACAAACATACAAACTTTCACATTTATAATATTAGTAGGAAGTTGGATAGCCTCTACCTTTAAGAGAGTCATATGTATTTTGATATTTGGTATTACAAAAAGCTGAAACTCTGTTTAATATTTGTGTGTAATTAGCATTATTTTAATTATTTTTATGATATTAACGATAATGGACTCAGGTAGTCGCGTTGCTCGGACAAAATTGCCATAACGGCCAATTTGGTTACGTAATTGTTTTCTAAATTAAAAAGTGTTTTTATGTTTTACATCAAATGTTAATGAAATCGAACGGTCGTTCTAAGTACATAATAAGTATTATTACCAAAAAACCCGAATAAAATGAAATCATACGTGGATTTCATTTGGCTTTTTTAAAATGTCTTATTAGATCTATCTGTATTATAGAAAATTTACCTTTAATATACTATTTTTTCAATAATTTTATTTTAAATGAAATATTTAACATTTGAAAAACAACAATTTTAAGGTAAAGCAAAATATACGAAAAACTCGTTCTCATCAGCTAGCTAGAAGATGTCCTGACATTGAACAAGTATTAGAGAAAATATTGGACGGTTCAAAAGAGATAATAAGTCACTTCCAATGTATATTTTCTTAATATAATTATTTTCCTTAAGAACCATATATAACGAAGGTTTGAAAAAAAGCTTTAACGTGAGAGATGACCGAACGAAATGTTCAAAGAAACTTTCATCTCTCACTACGTGGTTCGACACGTGTTTTATCTTTACATGAAAATTAAGTAATACCTGGGAAAAACTATCGCTGGAATGTGACCCAGAATTGGAGTCGTCGTACTGGATTTCGTTGTTGTCCGAAAAGCATTCGCTGGATAATTTCGATTTTGCTAATTCGCGTTGCTCCCGTTCCCTTCTCTCGTTGCGCTGCAAAATGGACGAACATATTCAGCATGCGTAGTTACGTCTACACTGTTTGGTATTTTCATTTATACTGTACCCCTAGCACGAACCAATATCGAATTCGTATCGTTTGCGAGTCCGAAATGTCATTGTCAAATGTGTACTGATTTTTAGTTCTCGTTACGTACTTTGTGCCGCTTCTGTTCAAGTTTCCATACAAAATTTGACATTGACATTTCGGTTTGCAAACTATTCGAATTCGATAATGGTTCGTACTAGGGGTACAGGTTCGATGGTTATATTGGTTAAGTAATTGCACTCTCATAAGAGAGATAATCGAGACGTTGGATTTCTTACGGTGAATATAAGATCAGGTGTCAGGGAAGGCAATGGTGCGAGTGATATTTTGGTATCACAAGCGTATATACTATAGATATATACAGCAGCCAACATAGCCTTTAGACTCTACAGGCTATGGTAGCTGCTTACTATCAGGAAGGCCATACGCTTGTTTGCCACCCCTTTAACATAAAGATTATTTTCAATTATTTAGCTTCATATTTAGATTAATAATTAGGTAAATAAATGTTTAAGTTAAAAAAAGTTATTCCCATATTCTTTACCCACCTCAGAACTAAATCCTTCCACAAGTATAGCTACTAGCAAATTGAAGAGGACATAATTGCCAAATGTCATCAACGCCACAAAATACAAAGCGGCCCAGTGACTAGTCTTTTCCATACCATTGAATAATACTACATTCCAATCTTCCTGAGTCAAAACCTGAAAGTTCAACATCCAAGTCAATGCTCAGTCACGTTTTATAATTTCGCTACCACATCAAATAATCATCATTAATTGTACATCTTTTTAATAAATCAAAATAAGCAAGGTGTGCTGTCATATTGTATTCAAGTCGTGCCTCTTGGTGTTTGTTATTTAATGTTAACAAATTAATGTAAATAAAATTATGTCAAAAATCAGCGTGTTAGTGTCAATTAGTGTAATGTTGACGTGTTAGTGTACACTAATATGCGGGGGAATTAAGTAATGGAGGGTACAAACAGACGGCGATTCGAGTACACAAGCATTCTAGGAACCAGCATAGTACTTATTCATTAGAAGCATCACTAAAGAATGCAGTAATTACGGAGCGCTCCTTGAAGATGCATTAAGTACAAACATAAAATCTACGCTACTAACTACTGTTCTATCTAATTCTCTAAAGCGAATCTCTCGGTCGTGCCAAATTAGTAACATACATGACCAATTGTGTAATGTCTTTTCTAACAACAGTTGAATGTGTTGTCAAATAAGACACGAGGATCGATTTGGATTGGTCGGTACGAGAAACACGCGGCGTCTACGCTCTAGGTACATATTCAAACGGGATCGCAAATAAACCGACTATTGTGTACCTTGTCTAACACCATTCCCAAAGGCTTACCTGGAAGACGGTGACGGTAGCCCAGAGGATGTTATTAAAATGTTTTCTGTCGCACTCACACTTGGGGTGGTGGGAGATGATTTCGGGGCACGTACAGTCTCGCTCGGTGCCATTGTCTTCCACATACTTGCAAAACTTACCACCGAATAGATACATGCCCAGAATACTGTTCGCCGCGGAGCCGATGAAAAAATGAAAGAAAAAGAAAATGCTATGCGCGCGCATACGCCGCGACCGAATCATCCTGACGACACTTTTGATGCGTACTTCGACGTTAACACTGCAACCTTCTTCTACGAAATCAAACTAATCTTACGAGTAAACGTGTGATTTGTGAGTCTGATTAGTCGCTTAATAAGATAGTAATTGTTTTAAGACACAAGCGCATTTCACACGTGAACTATTAACTTAAGTGGTATGTAATTCACTAATTGTCTATATACATTACGCTAATAAATATGTTTTGATAATACAAAGCGTAAAATTAGTTAAGTTTCTAATTGACTACGTTCAGGAACTTGGTCTTTGATCTATCAAAATCACCAGCAGTTTATAGCCTAATTGGTTAAGCAGTGTTATCGCCGCTAGAACGCGATCTCCAGAAGGGCAATCAAAATTGTTATAAATGTAAATAGTTCCAACGTAATTTCGGTGTTATATAAAGTGCAATTAAGTTCCTCAATATGCTTATGAACAATATCAAAAATCATTCTTCATATACTGCCTCATGATTTAACAATGACATAATAGTAATATAAAATGCGATAAATAAATCTGTAAGAGAAAATTAGGCCAAAGAAAAGTGCAAAAAGAAATTAAAATATCATTCTTATTCCAGGTTTTCAAATTACTCTTCATCCAAATTAGATGCATTATTTAAAAAGTTTTTTTTATTGAGAATAATGCAAGTGGAAAAATAGAAAAAAGAAATGAAGATAAGTGGGTCGGGCCAATCATACTAGCATAAAATTAGAAAGTTAAAGTTGAAGAAAAGGGGAAGTAATTGAAAATAGACCGTTACGGAAGTTAAAACAAAGATGCCGGCTTGACGACGAAATCAGTGAAAAGTTCGGTCAAGTAATGGATAATAAATCTCGGCACAATGGGATCACAATTTGATTATGGATCTCAATTTATCGTTTCACTGACTTCGTTTCGATCGAATAAGATACCTAAATAATAGAAGCAGCATGCAAAGTGATAGATAATATATTGTTTCAACTGAGTGCTATTGTAGTAGTGGGAGTAGAGGAACTGACGACCAGGTTATCCCGCGACACGGCATAGATTGACCTTAAGCTAACCTACAATTCAATCAAGCCTTCGACTAAATAATATGTGCTCTTGACGAGATCTGGTTGGAGTACTGTACGGCACAACATGATGAACGTGACACTAAATGATGTTGGATCAATCTGTTACGATGGTGCTAGATTTCTACGCGGGTACTAGGGTAGCGGTTACGCGACTCAACGTTTGTCTGACAAACGCACCGTACTGCAAGCAAACTTCTTCCTACGTTACTGTGCTTCGTAGAACGCTATTTTCTTGCAGCAAAGTGCAGAGTCAAATGTGTACTCGCGTGGTTAGTTAATTAGCCGTCACAATTACAATACTTTTGTTAATGGGATTCGTCACATTGACATGAGTGTTTACTGCTGACGGACCCGAAGGTAAGCGTTTAGTAATGTTTTGCAAGTTCAGTTTGTTTCTGGTTTGTCTGTTAGGTACGTTAATTTAAAATGTTTAATACCTGAAACACTGTGACAAAGGCCCACAAGAGAGTATCAAAGTTTTTTCTGTCGCAATCTTGGTCACCCTCCTCGTCTTTCTCGCAGAATTTGCACCCGAAGAGGTTCATACCGAGGATGCTGAACGTTACCACGCAATATACGATTAGATAACAATGCTTGTTACTCATGTCTCTTCCACATATTAAGAAGGAAAGATGAAATATATACAATACACATATAAAAGTGATTATAAAATCTAAATGACTGTGAAAAAGTGCAGGTGTAAATAAACTGAGGTGGACAAAAAAGCACAGAAGCGAGAAATACTAAAAAGATATATAGTATACTTAAGAAGAGAAAAAGTTGTGAAAAGTGTGGATAGTGACAGTGTGTAGTGGGTTTAATGTCAGGTAGACAGAAGTGAACGAGATACAAATAAGGAAAGATTGAAAAGAAAAAGGAGAAATCACTCACAGTTAGTGCACGGGTTAAGGGATGCGGGTGTGACAGTTAAGTAGAAACATTCAGAATTTCATATTTTATGGAGTCGAATAAATCTTCTTTGCTACGGGAAAAATGAAAAAAATTGGGTTGAGCAATCCACGAGTGATTGCCTTGAACAATGATGTTTACTACTTGGATACGATAACTACGATACGGGGTATGAGACATCACAAACGAGATTTAACACGATAGAGATTAAAATTAAAAGATTGTCAGGGTATAGTTCAGTAAGGCAAAAAGTTACTCATTAAAAGTTAATGCGCAGAAAATTAAAAAATAATAAAAACTGAATGAAGTTAATATTCATAATACTCTTTATAACTTCATTTTAAGATCCCTGTTGTGGATAAATAAAACAAGAATTTCACATTTCATAATAGCCTATCACATAAATTAAAATAATTTTCTTCGTTGAAACTTTGTTTAACACATGCAATTTATGTTGAGCATTATATTTATTAATTTATAGTATAATTTTAACATTTTGTTGGCCTGGATACTTCACAGAATCTAGTAAAATAGTTCTTATTTACCTGAAAATAAAGATGAAGAGTACGAGCAGCGAAAAAAATACTGCCACATTATCCATAGTGCGCAGCATGACGAATAATTGTCTTCGCAGATTGGGCATGAATCTCACAAGCTTCAAAATACGCAAAAGTCGGAATGTCCTCAAGACAGAGAGACCAGAACTGCCGGCTAAGTCTTTTTCATTTCCATAACTGTGCGCTAATTCAAATGCACTGTGAAATGATAAACACGTTTCGAATTAATATATGTTAAAGAACATTACACATAAACTTTTCCCAAAATAAATATTTCAAATAAATTTTCAATAGGAAAATAAAATTAAGTGTATTGTTACCTGAGTATCACAATCACGCCATCGAAAACATTGAATCCGTTGGAAATGTATTTGAAGGGTCCCTCGGCGATAATTTTGAGGATCATTTCGACGGCAAATATTGCCGAGAAAACGATGTTACTGATCTCTACTATTACTGTTAGCTCTTCCGGTTGGTTATGATATTCAATGCCCATCGATAGTGTATTTATGAGGATTGCCAATAGAATACCTAATAAATAAAACAAATTCAATGTACCGCGTACTCTTTTAGTACTTAAATACAATAAAATATAGAATATGACAATGTAATTTCTTTAATCTGTAATTCTTCGGTCTTTGTTATTGTTTATTTAATCATTAGGTTTGGCTCTTTTATCTATTGTATCTTTGCTTGTAACCCAATTATAAAAATAAAAAAACCTTATAACGGGTTCGAAATTGTTAACCGTGAATAATAGAACCGAAGCAAAATTATTCTGGTTTTACATTTTCATTTCGATAGAATTTCTGTCTTATTACATTGTAATGGTTCTGGTTCTTAAGTAAGTAATTGCCGTAACACTCAATAAAATTTTCTTCGACAATGAATACCTATTCTTACTACTTTTACCAATGTTTTAGTTTAAAAAAAACTTCACAGTTTAAAAATTACGCTGTTTTTTGGATTGTGATTTACCTTGTTGGAAGTATTTATGATCGACTATATTTTTAATATACTTCCTTAGCCACGATAAAAATTTTGATATCCTTTTCCAAACAGTACAAAATGCATGGGTGAATCTGTTTTTCCTAGATTCTTTGGCTAAGGCTTCCGCTGCTATTAACTCGGCACAACAGGAGAAGTCCTCTATGTCTACGGCCTGTAGAAAATTTAAGATAATTTAAAAATTACATTAGTTTGACATAATTTAAAAATGGTGGCGTATTTACCTTTGCATCATTTTTCTCGTCTCCTGCTCTTTTGCTAATTCCTTTTGTGAGTTCTTCGAAGAACGAGTCTAAAGCCACTTGTCCCGTTGGCAGTGCTGCCGAGAGTGCTCCGGAGAGAGCGAGTAGTTCTTGACAAGACATAGTGCCTCCAGCAGCCGCCCTTTCTTCGGCCGTCTCGCCTGTTGGCAGGTCGAATTCTACGCCCCCAACATAAGTGTCACTACAGTGCGATTTTGCTATTAAATATTACCTCGAAAGCACGGCGAACATATTGCATAGATAATCAGGTAATGATGTATCACTTCTTCAGATAAAGTTAAGGGTTAAAATATTTAATAACACTTTGTCTTCCTAGTCAGACGTTAATCGCTTTTACTTTGGTTAAGACTTTTATCAAGTGTGTGATGCGTTCGAGGTAGGTATAACGGATAGATTGAAGACGTCACACCAAGAGCCCATACAATTAGGAATTAGCCTAATTATGCCGAGAAATAGAAAGCGAAACTCATAGGAGGAAATCATAGGAGAAGAAATTAAGTCGGCCAAGTCCAGTTTGCCTAGTCTTGATTTGAAGGATAGCAGAAGGAAGCGAGAGAATCAGACCAGATTGACATGCCCCTCTAATATCGTCTAGATCTACCGTCTCTAGACTCACCACTTTGGCTCTTAAGCCAATCACGTTGGCACAATGAATCTACAAATATTCATTTTAATTGTTAACAATAAGTCAAATATTGCTATTTTGGAACATAAGATTGATAACATACAACAGATCTTAGTTTAGTTAAAGTAGAAGTATTTTAATATTTTTCTCTTGTACGATTTATTTAAGATTTGTAATGTCTGCATACCTGTTTGAGTCATCTTCTCTGACGAACATATGTTGTGAGGGTGTGCCATATGAGGTGCGTTAGGAGCGTGAAGCAGCACTGTGTCACTGAACATCACTGATGACCTTCGGCGAGCCAACGATGGGGGAGATAGCAGTGACAGATTTGATGCATTCTGGATAAGAAAACATACTAACTTGGTATTCATTGCGATTATAGGTGGATTGTAGATATTGTGATGAAGAGTCAAATTTTTTTTGATTAACTATTTAATTTTAAAGCAAATACGACATAAGACTAGAATAGATAGTTTTATTTAGTTATTCTTAAACAGGAATACTTCAACATCATCAGCCTTTTGGATGGACTAAATATAGAGAACGTGTCTTGATATAAATACAGTAATTTTTATCATACTTTCAAAACAGCATTTCTTCATGTAAAATGAGCAAAATACAACCATGTTATACAAAATAAGCAAAGGGATTTATCAATAATATATATTTTGCCAATAAGAGTTTAAAGATAAAAGAGTTTTCCTTTGAAAACTCGTAATGATGTTATTTCAAAGAGATTCCCTTTACTGTCGCAAGCAGCGAAAAACGTAATTCGATGGTAATTTGCAATAATGTTATTTGAGCGTGTGTCTGAAGCGTCCTCGCATTGAGTGGCACAATTTGATAACTCGTGTTTTTGTGTCTCTTACTCTGCTTGATCTTGGTGTGGTTTTTCCGTGTGTTATCTGTTTTCACCTTTTGTTTTATTTACTAAACTGCGTATGAACAGCGCGAACATGGGTATACGTAATCGACAACGTGTGCCCTAGAAGTGTAAATACAAAGATGGGTGTAATATAGATAGTAGCTGTTTAAGAGCACAGCCGTGTCCGTATATATAGGTATAATTCGTTCGTTGTTGCTGCCCTTTGTTTTGCTCTCAACACTAACCTAACCCAATCTCATCTGTTCAAAAGGACTTCACTCTATGACGCTTTAACTGCTTTATGCCATCTGCAAGATAATGCAGCGAACTAGGGGCGGATAGCGGGAGATGCGGGTTCGGACTCCGCCTGTTGCCTGGACCGAGTGGATTATTTTCTAGTAAAATTTTCTACAGATTTATAAATCTAGCAGTGAAAGCCTTGAAATAAAAATATAAAGTAAGGTTAAGCTCAAAGCCAGTTCGACAAATTTACCGACACTTGGCTTTTTACTTGATCAGTGGCTGTCAATAATTACATAATATATAATAAACTGAACGGAAAAAACGAAAGAAATTAAACTATTTGCCACAGTTTTTTAAGTTAAAATACTAGGTACGCAATTTTTTTCACCAGAAGTAGCACTTCAAATGTCGTACAACTTCACGTTTACGTAAACGTTCACTAAGAACTAGGGATCTTTCGGTACAAGTAAATACTCGATACTTTCGTATCGATCCCAAGTACTTTTGGCATCGAATCAATATTGCGATACTAACTTGGCGTCTGCAAAGATGTACTTAGTAATAAATCGAATCAGAATTCAGACTGAGTATATTCATAACTTGAACTGAACGCATCTGTGGAACGAATCAGGATAAAATATCCTATCTCTTGCTTAGTCTTCTGCTAAAATTAAATAATGTTCGCTCACACGCACGCAGCCGCCATATTGTTTGTCGTGACTGTGCTGCTGGTGTGTTCTGTCCAAAGATATTTTAATACTGCATGCAATTTAGTTATAATTGTAGTAATATTATTAATAAAAGGTTATTTAAAGTGAAAATTGTATTACATCGCCACAATATTTTTGTTCATCTTTTGCAAGTCGCAATTAATTTTTATCGTTATATTAACCAAACATCGGTGGATCAGTGGTAGAAAGCTCGCTTCCTATGCGGGCGACCCGGGATCGAATTCCAGCCGAGGAAGGACTTTTTATTAATGATTTTATTAATTTCACTTTGCCGTGGCTTTTTAATTAAATTGTTTTTATTTTTAACATCTAGTTACTGATATTTATTATAACAAATTAATTCCCATTAAATACCATAATTTACTCCTCATCAGAACTTTAAAAAAAAGTATCGATATGAGTAAGTATCGGAACTTTAGGGATACTTACACGACTAGTATCGAATAAAGGTATCGAAACATCCCTACTAACAGCGTTTAGTGCTCTAGTTTTACTGACCTATACAACTACAGTACGGGTAAGTGAGCAACAGTTTAACCAATATTTCAATTAGTGTTGCCCAAATGCAAGAACAAGACGAGACTTAACCAGTCTTGGTCTTGGTCTTGCGCCAATACACCTGGTCTTGGTCTTGCGCTCCCAGTCTTGGTCTTGGTCTTGGTCTTGCAGCAAGAGTCTTGCAAGTCTTGCAATTACCTATTAGACTATTGCTATTTATTAAAGTTTTCTACCGCACCGCCTCGGCACGTGCCGGCTCTATTAAAAGGATGCCGCCGCAAATCAAACGATGCCGCGTGCGGCGTACAAACACAGATTAATACCTACTTGTACACACGCGTGACATTGTGCCAATCACTATTCTTTACATATAAGTGAATGTTTTGTCGTACATCTATACTAATATTATAAAGCTGAAAAGTTTGTTTGTATGTTTGATGTCAGAAGTTTTAAAATATATAAATAAATCCTGAACGTCACTATACCTCCAAAGTTACTATTCCTCGTGGACGAAGTCGCGGGCACTGCTAGTAAATACTTACTCTCATCATCTCTCTCGAGATATTCGGGCTCGTAAGCAATACAAAAATCTTATCACAGGCTTTTTATTTTATAAGTAGGTAGGTAAGCTTTTAATATTATTTTATTTGTTTTGTAGATTTTTTTTACACGTTTCAAGTATATTTAAAAGTGGCTACAATATTTATCAAACGGGTGACATTTGACCACTTTTTTGCTATTTTTTCTTGTAAAAACTTAAGAAATTTAAGAAATATTTTACAATAATAGTACCTAAGTAATTAGTTTAAATCCATATAATCAATATTATAATATGTACTTACTAGAATAAATTATTATGACATCTACTACCTATCCTTACCATTATCTAATCATAATACTACTTGCGTGATCAGTATAATGTATTCGTTTCCATTCTAACCACTCTGAAACTTATTTATTCTTTGGAACACCTGTACTCTAAAATTCGAAAATCGGAGTTCGTGTCGTACCGTCTGGCTCGCTCATATATTAAATAGTATTAGCGTGAGTGGGACGGCACGACACGAAATTAGGATTTTGCATGACCTAGGCCCTGTGGCGGCAATCAAATAGTGTCAAATATTGTGATTTCGGCGCGGCGGCAACGATTGTTGTATGTGATTTCAATAGAAGCCCCCGGCGCGTGTATCATCACCATGTACTTCCGAAAAGCGGCAAATTTTTTTGAGAAGTCAAAGTGCCGATGGTTAAAACAAAACTATGCATGCACTCTGTTTGATTTTAATGGATATTTTTTTAGTCGCTATGTATGTTTATGGTATTGGTCGTAATGGGCATAGGTCCAGTTTTTTCATATTCTTTGATACAGTTTTTTGCGTCTCATAGAATTCCTAAGCGTACCTATACACCGAACTGTTATACCTAATTACTCCGTGAAATAGCGCTAAGTCCTAGCTGCAAGACGCAAGAGTCTTGCCGGATTGGTCTTGTTCTTGCTCAAGTTTTGCACGGTCAGTCTTGGTCTTGGGCTTGCTAAAAATACGCGGTCTTGTTCTTGGTCTTGGTCTTGCAAAAATGCAAGAACAAGACCAAGACTGAATTTGGGCAACACTAATTTCAATATTTTTATTGTGGAACTGGAATTTGTCCGAAATTTCAAGCGATTTGTAATAAATATATTATAAACGCAATATTGTATAATACAAAGTGAGTTTTATGGGTTGTTCAACAATTAATAAAAACAACAAACAATTCATCAATGATATATTTAAAAGAATTATGTTGCATGGCCTTTAAAAAAATCGAATTTTGCGCCATTTAAAGAGTTATGATGTTTTCCGCCTATTTAAACTTTTTCGAAGCACTAACTGGTGTTCCCCAAGGCGGTATTCTCTCTCCTCTTCTTTTTTCAACTTTTATTGATTTTATCACTCACAAACTTCAGTGTACGTATCATCTATATGCTGACGATTTGCAATTATATACCGAGACAAGTATTGACAATTTAAATGAAGCCATTGATGCTCTAAACAGAGATTTAGTAGCTATTAAAACATGGTCGGACAATTTTGGTGTAATTGTCAATGCTACAAAATGTCAAGCCATTTTATTAGGTGGGTCAAGGGCCATGAGCAAAATTTACAACGGCAGTGTTGGTTCCATCGTTTATGACGGCACACCAATCCCCTTCAGCAATGTCGTAAAAGATCTAGGGTTGTATGTCGATTCCGGTTTTAAATGGCAGGACCAAGTTAGTAGCGTCTGAAAAAAAGTAACAGGAATACTGCGTGCCCTTTATCGCCTGAAAAATTTTTTGCCGGTCAATATCAAGGCAATGCTTGTGCAAACCTTAATATTTCCCATAATCGACTATGGTGATGTGTGCTACCTCGACCTGAATGCAGATCTACTCAACAAGCTTGATCGACTTTAGAATAACTGCATTCGATTCGTTTTTAATCTTAGAAAATATGACCATGTGTCCGCATACCGATCTCTCTTAAAATGGATGCCCATTAGGTAACGCAGATTTATGCGGGCTCTGACCACTTTGTTCACTTTGCTGGATTCTCCAAATGCCCCCCCTTATCTTACTTCTCAGTTTCAGTACTTATGTACCTCTCATACTAAAAATCTTAGATCTTCTTTCAATCGTTAACTAGTCGTTCCATCTCACAATTCCGATATCATTCACTCTTCCTTCTTCGTCAAAACTATACTTTTGTGGAACGAACTCCCGCTAGACATTAGAATGTCCCCCAACAAACATTCCTTTAAAACCAAGCTGCGAACCTTTTTATTGGAACAGGCGTTTCGTTAAGTAGTTTGTCGTCATGTATGTATTATATGAAGTATGTATATATGTAAGTGTATGTATATGTTTAGTTATATTATTTGTATATATTTATTTATATAGGTATGTTATTGTTATATTATATTTATTATGAGTAATATTTCTTTAAATGTGATCTCCACCTCAGTTGTGCACCCTGCCACTAAAATCTTATAATGCCTACGGTATTAAGTCCGCCATTGTACAGTATGTGCATGAAGAATAAAATAAATAAAAAATGTAATTGGATCGTTCTGAACGGTTTCGGCACGTTTTCACTGGATTCAAAATATTATGTGCGCGGTATTTTTTTTCGTTTTACCTCAAGATCGGCGGCAGAAAGTGACGGTACGCGGAGTAAGCTTGGCCTGCTCACGGGCTCCTCGATTCCAGCGCTGTCTTCAGTCTTCCCTCCATTGGGTTGCTGAGACAAAATGTTTGTTTTAAATTATAACATGAACAGATTTTTAATTTTTTATTTATGTCCGATTAATTTTAAATCGTAATATAATTTACGGGATTGTTACCATGTACCTTGTTTTTAGCAAACGCAATAAAAGACTTCGTCAGAAGGTAGACCGATATATCTGCCAATAACAGCCTACCCGCAATTACTTCAGTTACTCCGTAATCATGGCACTTGCAACAGCGCCGACATATCGGAAACTCGCTAAAAACAAGGTACATGGTAACAATCCCGTAAATAACTTATATTACTATAATGTTAGTGACCATGAAAGTTTAAATTTTAAATCGTGTTTAAAAAAAATATTTTTAAGGATGCTAGCCAACCTGTCATAATTAACGTCATCGTCAATATGTTCGTGGATTTAATGCAGATCTATGTTGCTGTGGCAAGTTATACACTCCCAGACACATCTACCGAGCCACTTAAGTTTCATCAGTCTGTAGTAAAAATATATATGTAAGGCTGAGCAATAATAATATATTGAAAAAACCACACACGCAATAGATGGTTAATAAATCATCTTCAAAACTGCTTAAGAGCTTTTTGCTCAATGAAACCCTATTTTTTGCTAGGGTCCGTCTAATCAAGGGTGCTACGCCGGAAACCTCCTCGTGTGGCCGATGCATTTCCTGTCCTGTGGCTTAGGCCTAGGGAACGGAAATGCGCTGGTCCGGTGCACTCTGGGCAACTACGCATGAGGTATCCGCAAGGGCACCTTATGCGTAGGCTGATGTCTGGCAAATCTCGTAACCCCGTACATGGTGCGGGGCCGAGGGCCGCCATTCCCTTCGGAGGGTGGGGGCTGCGAGGAAGAAAACCTCTTCAAAAATCACCCCGGGTTGGGGGCAATAGAGTGGCCCCGGTGTCGGAGAGCGGTGCGCCGTCCGGAGGAGCTCGTAACCCCGTACGTGGTGCGGGGCCGAGGGCCGCCATCTTCTTCGGAGGGTGGGGGCTGCGAGGAAGAAAACCTCTTCAAAAATCACCCCGGGTTGGGGGGCAATAGAGTGGCCCCGGTGTCGGAGGGCGGTGCGCCGTCCGGAGGAGCTCGTAACCCCGTACGTGGTGCGGGGCCGAGGGCCGCCATCTTCTTCGGAGGGTGGGGGCTGCGAGGAAGAAAACCTCTTCAAAAATCACCTGGGTGAGTCTCAGTTGGCGTCCTGGGTATCCCGGGCAGCGGCAATCGAGACTTATTGGATGGGGCGGAAACGCCGTTGGAGTATGGGCGGTCGTGGTGCGAAGTTCGTGCCGCTTCCGGCCGACCCGCAATCCTGCACGTGGTGCAGGACCGGGGGCTGCCATCCTTCGGGGTGGGGGCTACGAGGAGGAAACCTCTATAAAAAACCACGTATGTAAGGCCAGGTAGGGTCCCCCCCGCCCGGAAGGGGGGGAAATCGTAAATGTAATGTCGGACAAAGATAAGGTATTTTTGTCATGCGCTCCCGCTGACGACGGGCGCTCTGGGGTAGCTCGGTCCCCGAGTGTTAAATTGGTTACGAGCGGCCCATGCGATCCGGCTGGCCACCGGCGCTGCATGCTTACCGGGGCATGCAGTGGGAAATCTACTACCGAGGCGTGTGAAGAAGAAGGTGCTGTGCTCCGCCTGAGAGGGAGGGGTAACAGCGAAGAGGAAGATGAGGGGGACCTACCACCAGTGTCCCTCGGAGCGAGAACTATAGGGAAAGACCCTATGGGTGGAACCGGACGTCGACCGGTAACTCGAGGCTCAGCAAGATCGTTGCTGATAATTAACAGCGGCGGGGTTCTGGCAAGATGCGCTAGTGTGCCCAACTTGAAAGACCCACCAGTCAAGGCGTTGACACGGGCTGAAGAGCTCAAACTATTCAAAACTCTTCAGCCACCAGAGAAAGGACCAAAGAAGGGGAACGGGAGTACCAGTCGGGAAAACGTGGAGAACATGGAGGAGGACGTGGGGGTTGAAAAAATGACCAAGACCAAAGTGGTAGTAGGGTCCAAAAGGAAGAGAGGCCCAATACCATCATCATCCTCATCCCCTGAACTTTCGGAGGATTCCCAGGACGAGCGACCGAAGGCGAGCCGCGGCGGTCCAAGCAGGGCAGGCAAGCAGCCCTCGAAAGCGCCGCCTAAGAAGCTAAAAGATGGAAGGTCCGTTGGGGAAGCGGAGGCTCGCGTGTTCGAGAAGGCTTGGAAAGAGAGACAGATTATGGAGGAGGTCCATATGGAGGAAGCCAGCGACAGCGTCGTGGCCACTAAGAGGAAAGGGAAGGCGTCAGGGCGTGCTAAAGAAGCCAATGACGAGGAGGGTTCTAGGCGGGTTGAAGCGATACGCGACGTGTTCGAGCGTAAGGCTGCACCCCAGAAATCGTTGTCCCCGCATCTATTCCGCAAGGGTGCTGAAGTCAGGAATGTGGAAGGGGCAAGCATAGAGGAGAAGCTTAGCAAGGCGGAATTGGAAATCTCCCGCCTTAATTCCGAGAACCACAGGCTCAGTGGGGAGGTAGAGAAGCTGAAAGGGATTACCAGGGCCGACCAGAGGAAGATCGAGGAGGCTAACAAAAAGTTAGATGAATGGGCTAAGACGGGGATCCTCGGACTCCTAGGTGCGGAGGCGGATAACCCTGAATCTCCGTTGATTCAACTGATCTGTCGGGTGGCTGGTAATCACATTGACAAGATCAACCAGATCAGGAAGGAAGGGGAAAGCACACCGGAGCGCAGCATCCCTCTGAAGGCGAGGGCGAACGCCAAGGTCGCGGCGAAGGCAAGGGATGCGGAAAAGCCTAAGGAGCCGGCACGCACCTACAACCAGGTGGTAGCCGATGCGGAGAAGCCAAGGGTAGAGGCTGCGGGAAGGAGGCAAGTGGGGCCCGAAAATGCCACCCCAGGTCCATCAGTTCAACCCGAGGGCGTTCAACAGGGTAAGTGGTCCATTGTGGGTAAGAACGGCAGGGAGAAAAGCAAGCTTGCCCTAAAGAGAGAGAGACGCAAGGCCCGAAAGCAGGCTGCCAAAGAGGCTGCATCGAACGCCCAACCGCTGCCGGCTAAGCAAAAGGGGCCCACGGCAGGAACCGGAAAGCGGCAAGGTCCAGCGCCACCCAAGAGCAAGGTGAAGTTAGTGGTCCCCCGTTCGTCTGCCATAGTTTTAACGATCCCGCCGGAGAAGAGGGAGACGGGTCCGTCGTATGGGCAGATCATTCAGCAAGCTAGAGGGGCCATTAAGCTGAAGGATCTCGACATTGAGGACATCGACATCAGGAACTCGATTGGCGGCAGTAGGATAATCGAGGTCCCGGGAGCTGCTAGCGCTGAAAAAGCAGACATACTGGCGGACAGGCTGAGGGAGGTTCTGGGGGACAAAGTGATAGTGACTCGGGCCATAAAGTGCGCGGACCTCAGACTGAGCGGGCTCGACGAATCTGTCAACCGGGAATTCCTCAAGGAGGCGGTGGCACGGGTGGGGGGATGCCCGACAGAGCAAGTGAAGGTGGGAGAAATCCAGCAGGGACCTGGGGGGCAAGGAGCGGCTCTAGTTAGATGTCCTGTGGCTGCGGCCAAGGTGGTCGCTAAGGAGGGCAAGCTTAGGGTAGGATGGAGTTCGGCCCGAGTCCGGTTGCTGGATGTCCTCCCCATGCGCTGTTACAAGTGCATGGGGCTGGGGCATACCAGCCAGGTGTGCTCAGCGGGGGTGGACTACAGCAGTTGTTGCTATAGATGTGGAGAGGAGGGCCACAAAGCGTACAACTGCAGGGCCCCCGTCAAATGCAGGGTGTGTTGTGAGGCCGGCCTACCCAGCGGCCATCTCATGGGGAGGAAAGGATGCAGACCGCCGCAGAAGAAGGCATCGTTGTGGTCCGGGCCTCGAAAGCCCACAACGGTGGTAGCTTCGGCGGAAATGGAGGTTACCGAAGCGTCCCAATGACCAGACGCAATCAATGTAACGTTATCCAAGGTAACCTCAACCACTGCGCCGCAGCGCAGGACCTCCTCCTGGCAACGGCGAAGCAGTGGCAGACGAATGTCGCGGTGATCGCGGAGCCCTACCGCGTGCCGTCCAGATCAAACTGGGTAGGGGATCTGGACGGCACGGTGGCGGTGGTGGCCCCGAACGAAACACCACAGGCGACTCTCCTAGTGGCCAAAGAAAGAGGGAGAGGGTACGCAGTAGTCACGTGGGGTGAGTTCACCTTCATTGGGGTGTATTTCTCCCCCAATAGGACGCTGACGCAACTGCAGGCGTGGTTGGATACGGTGGAGGCGGCCGTAAGACGCGCGGCATCGGATAAAACGATTGTGCTCGGGGACTTCAACGCCAAACATATGGCGTGGGGGTCCTCGAGCGCAAATCGTAAGGGGGAGATGGTGCTCGACTGGGCGGCGCGATTGGGCCTGGTGATTGCTAATAGGGGGTCCGAATACACGTGCGTGAGGCCAAGGGGAGGATCCATAGTGGACCTCACCTTCACGACGCCCACACTGGCCCCGCGCGTGCAGGGCTGGAGGGTGCAGGGGGATGTAGAGACGTTTTCGGACCATCTGTATATACGGTTCCGAGTCTCCCCCCCTGCGCAAGGAGGGACATCCACAGTACGGGATAGGAGGACTCACTTTCCACGGTGGGCAGTCACCCGGCTCAATCCGGAAAGGGCGGAGGAGACGGCAATAGTCCAGGGGTGGAGCATGGACTCCAGTGACTCCCGTGGCATCAACGAGAGTGTGGCGAGGTTTGGGCGCGCCCTTAGGACGGTCTGCAGTGCCGGCATGCCTCCTGTTTAGGCATGCGTCCGATATATCAAAACGAATCCAAAATCCGATTTCAAACACAAATCGATACCAAACGATTTCTCAACAAGAAAATCCGATTTCAGAAATCTAACCGAACCAAAACGATCGATCTAGCGATCTAATACCACCACACGTATCTAAATGTAAATCGGATTCGAAATTCGTGCCATCTTTTTTACTCCGCTATGTAGCGA